TTGGGAGCTTAGTAGTGTTTGTTGTGTTGTGAGTGTTGTGGTGTGGTTTCTAGCGTTGCTACTGCCGGCTTTAGGCGGTCTTCGTATTTGTCCTCCCAATTTTTTCAGTTGTTAGTTATTTCATTCAGCTAGGGGTTGTATCTTTGCACATTTGTGCATTTTTAGTTACAAAATCTCTATCGTTTTGAAAAATAAAAGAATAATGTTTTTTTTTTATATTCAATTAGTTTAAAATAAACGCGTTTGCATATAATAAACACTGCATATACAAAACCTTGCTAAAAATTTCAAATTGGCAATGAAAAATTTCAGATATCTACAAATAATAAAATATTTGTTTAATCAGTCACAAAAATATCGAACAAATAAATTTTGTAACAGGAAATTTATTAATTATTTAATAGATTTCATTCAGCCACCAATAAATAATAACATGACTTCATTTAATAAAAATATTTATGAACAACATTCAAATGACAGTTACACAAATAAAAACTTTATTATTATTAAATTTTTATTTGGTAACAACTTTACAAGATTATAAATTTCTTAATATACAATATTCAATTATTTTACAACTAATATTCATATTTTGTATTATAATTGTACAATAACAAAAAAAAAAATAACTAATTTATATGAAAATTAAATTTATATTTATTATACATTTATTATAGTCAAAATTTAAAATGTAATACACACTTTATGTAATATAAATTTTTATATATCATATACGTACATATAATAAATATTTTTTGTTTCCCTCTGCACATGTGCATGTGCATGTGCATGTGTATGTGTACAGGAACGAATACAAGTTTAGATAAAAAAACAATTTTTTTTTTCTTTAACCATATAAAAAACTTATATTAAGATTTTGATCACAAAAATATGTTAGACATTTTAGTCATAATATATTTATTGATAAATTTTTAATTAACTTATCTAATTATTTTCAATATCATAAAATCATCAAAATAACTCAATACAAAGATATATATATATATATATATATATATATATATATGTTTCATAATCAGTGTCAAAACAAAATCGAACTATTTTAATTCTATATCAGAAAATCAATTAATTTTCAAATTATTTAATCAACAACACAAATAAATCATATTGAGAAAAGGACAAGTTTTCCCAATTTAACCAAACTAGTACAACGTCCGTGTATTACACGGGTGATTGCTAATTTTTTTCTTAAAATTTAAAATTAATGAGAAAAACTAGTTGAAAATTTAAATACCTTTTACAAAAATATTTATATTATTATATATTTAGTATGACACTTTTTATTTGTGCGACTTATCTGTGTTATATTATAATAATTTTTTAACTTACAACATATAACTTCATTAAAAATAATATATCAATTAATAAATAATTTTATTTTTCTAATGAATTTTAATAAATATTATTATTTTTTATTATTATAAAGATAAATATAATTTATTTATTTCATATATACAATATGAATTTCAAATCGAAAACCATCAAAAGATGATTAATTTGATATATAATACATGTAAAACCGATATTTAATCAAGAAATGATTGAACACAACAAATATTTAATCAATTAAAGAAATTAAAATATTTAATCAAATATTTAAAGAAATAATTGAGCATAACAAAATAACACCCCT